GTATCTGTTAGTGTTGCTCACGAGGTCAAACTATTATCAGCCTGACAAATGGTAAGCTCTGATATTCAGCGCTAGTTCAAATATTAGTATTATGCTTTTGTTTTTAACAGATTTCTGATCAGTTACGACTGTTTAGTACGTTTCATTGTCTGTGCTGCAGTCGCCACTTTGTAGTTTAGAGCAATTGTCCCACCTGCAGCATTATCTGGTTACACATTTTTTTTTATTCGTTTTGGGTTTTTTTTGAGGACTTTTTCAAAAACATTAACTCGGTGTGTCTTTGTGTTCCCGTGCAGGTGTTCTCTCCCAGCTGTCCTCCTGCAGCAGTCATGGCAGAGTTCATGTGTCTCCCGTCGTCATCGCTCAGCGGAGGAATAACTCCACCTCACCCAGGCTCCAAGTGGATTTGGACCAAGGCACAGGTGAAGCTTTTTTTTTTTAACCGTCCCCACCTCCTGCTCTCATCCTGTCTGTCGTCCGTTGAACATTTTTCTCTCATTCAGACGAGAAACTCTTCTGTCTCTTTGCAGGTGTGGCGGTGATGCGGCTGCAGAATCCTCCGGTCAACAGCCTCAGCTTAGAGTTCATCACAGACATCTGCATCAATGTGGAGAAGCTGGAGATGGACAAGAGCTGCAGAGGCCTCATCATCACTTCGGTACGGCGAAAGTCTCTCCGTTTAAAGCTGCGGCATCTTTTTTTTTTTTTAACTTCGTGTTTGTCTGACAGCGTGGTTACAGTGTATGTACCTCACAGGATAAGTGTGTCTTTGATTCCACTGAAGTCACATTTTTTTTGTTTTATCTTTGTGGCTTTGAATGTCGAAGTGTGCTTCTGTGGTTCACCTTGAGCGTCCCGCTGTCTTGCGTTCCTTCCATCCAGAACCAGCCCAAGGTGTTCTCGGCCGGTCTGGATATCTTAGAGATGTACGGGAAGAGTCCGGAACGATGCGGAGAGTTCTGGAGAGCCGTACAGGAGATGTGGCTGAAAGTCTACAGCTCCAACATGGCCGTCATAGCAGCAATCAATGTACGTATGAAACAACCCCTGACTCCACTGTAGAAATGTGGTTAAAAAAAAAAACAAAAGCCCATGACTCTCCGTCGTCTCTCCTTCCACAGGGTTCCAGCCCTGCAGGCGGCTGTCTGCTCTCCATGACGTGCGACTACCGGATAATGGCAGATAACCCTCGTTACAGCATCGGTCTAAATGAGACGCAGCTCGGCATTGTAGCACCGTTTTGGTAAGGAGTTATTAACACGACCACACCTGTGACAGCGGTGGTTCAGCTAATAGTGACAGTAGTGTTGGTATATAGAGTAAATTAACCAGCTACGGGGCATTTGCTCATGTTCTGTGTCGCTGTAGGAAATAATTCCTGCTGCTGTGTGCAGGTTTAAGGACACTATGGTGAACACAGTGGGCTTCCGGACCACAGAGGTAGCCCTGCAGTTGGGGTTGCTCTACAACCCCTCAGACGCCCTCAAGATAGGACTGGTGGACCAGCTGGTACCCGAAGACCAGGTCCTCGCCACAGCCACGAAGACCATGACCAAGTGGTTTGCTATTCCAGGTACACAGCACATCATGTAGAATCAGAATCAGAAATACTTTATTGAAGTATTGAAGTTCAAATCACTGCAGTCATGTCACAGAACCTTCCAGTCTGTCTTCCACCTGCGATGCTTAACTTGATCTCCCCTCAGAGGTTGATTTCAAGTTCATATCGGGATCATTTCATCTTTTATCATCAAATTCAATCTCTGGTTTGAATATCATGAACTATGGATACTTTAAAGTCATATCTGTGAAATCCAGTCCCGGCACTGGGATTTCCATCATGCATATGTCACTTTTTGCCATTTTTCTGTCATTCACATGCTCTTAGAAAGTCCAGGTTACTTCACGTTAACGTTTGTTCGTCAAAAAAATCCCCCTGCGAGTCAAAAGTCAAAAGGATTCAAAGTGAGAAATTATTGTTCACCCACAAAGATGCTGCTCCAATCAAATGATCAGATTAATGTTAGAAAGATAAACACAGATCAACTTTCTTAATTTTTTTTAAATTACAGTTTTGACCAACTCGTACCACAAGTCAAACAAATATTAAATTTTACTTTAAGTTTGAGGCTCAGAATATGGTACTTTATTGTTAATGCCACACAGGCGTTCTGATTTTTGGTTACGCAGAAGATGCACCATAATTAGCCCAAAGCTAATCCGCTAGTCTTTGTTTAGTAGGCGGTGATATTTAAACCTTTTTTGTTCAATACTTTAGCAGGACTCAGTCAATAACAATGATACATACTGTGATGGTACATATTATGCAGAGATTTGCGTATTAATTGATGCATGAATATAGTTTTTTTTTCTGACCTGCATTAGCAGAAGCGCGCACCGTGGTGTACAGATACAGAAACTTGTTGTGGTTGCCGTGGTTACAGATCCCGTTTAGTACAACTTTGCCCCAAGGAGCCGATTTATCGAAGGTCGTAGAGCGTAAAGAAATAACCCAAGGAGTATTAAAGCTAACCGCTCGTCTGTTCTATTTGCAGATCACGCCAGACAGATCACCAAGTCCATGATGAGGAAGCCGACCATCGACAAGATGACGTCCAACAGAGAGGCGGACATCAAAAACTTTGTCAGCTTCATCACCAAAGACTCCATTCAGAAGTCGCTGCGCATGTATCTGGAGATGCTTAAGAAGAGAAAGGCCTAGATCAGAGAGGGAAACGCGCACATTAGAAGGACTTTGTGACACTAGTTGAAAGTTTTCGGCGAATTAATCACAGCTCCTCTTTATAACCGTGTTTAACAAGCAAAGAATCATAACACAGGGGGATCCTCTGACGCCAAGCAGTGACCGAAGCCAGTAAATAATAATAAATAAATGTATTAAAGCAATTACAGTTTAGTGTGAAACAATCTGCCTATTTTAATGTAATGACTGTCGCTAAGCCTCACCCTGCTGAGCTTCCCTAAGCAGTTTACAGCTATCTCTTTATTACTGAGCCTACACACTTCCTTTTCACATGATTTATCTTTGGAGGAGTTGACAAGCAAACATGAGCAGGACAGTAGATTTAATCAGCATTAATAACAGTCATTACTAGGAGCTGTTAGCTAGCACGGTTAGCTAACAGCTGCTTTATATTTAGACTGTGATGTTTGTATTTTCCAGACTGGTTTCTTCAGTTCTGCAAAATTAAAGATGTGAAGTGTAGAGTCCCTCACAACAACAACAAAAAAAAAAAAGAGCAGGACACAGATGCTAACGTAAATTCTAACGTAGTGGTAGCGTGTTGTCATTAGCCTCGAGCTAATGTAGTCAGCTGTTCAAATGCCGCTTACCTTTAAAAACTCAAAGGTACGGGGCATTTGGTTTTGCAGATCAGGTTTGATGGATTATTCCTTTGCTCCACCTATCCACCCAGATCCACAATATTCTACTTGGTAGTTATTGTATAATCCTGCTCACAAACAAACCGCTACAAACATGCCTTGGTGGAGGATTTACTGCGGTTTACAGCTAAGCTAATTAGCTCCAAAGGCTAACATCAGAAAAACAGACTAATGCTGTTTAAGCCCATTTCTCAGGCTTTTGTTTTGTCTTCTTGGAGAGTCTTTTAAAGTCCATCTGAGCTCTTTAAAGTACCTCTAGCTACAGCTCCATGCGTATTATTGCGGCGCATGGAGAAACCTGAAGTGCCGTGTCTAGTTGCTAAGCTATGATTGGACCGTTGCTGTTTGGGGGCGGGGCTTAGCGAACAGTTGTTTAAAAGACGACTTTAGCGTAACGAGCGCCTGCTCTTATTGTGATTGCAGGAAACCGTGATGGTAACCTTTTGGTGCTTCTGAACAGCCCACAGTGGCAAAGCCTTCGATCACCTTCATCTGTATTGTTCTGTGTTCTTTTTACTGTGACATTTCTGGGATCAGTGGGTTGATTCGTTGAGTCTGTGGATTAAATGGTGTGAATAAAGCAGCCTGTTTTCATTTATGGTCCTTTTCGATTGTTGCATTTGAGCTCATGTTTATGGTCAAATTTAAGTAATACATGTATTTCTGTCGGGGCTGCAAGGTGGACCAGTGGTTAGCGTTCTTCCTGCATGGAGTCTCCATGTTCTCCCCGTGCAGCGTGGGTTCTCTCCGGGTTTTCCAGCTTCCTCCCACAAGGCCTCAACATGTTGAGGTTAATTAGTGATTCTAAATTGTCCGTAAATGTGAGTGTGCTTGGTTGTCTGTCTCTAAGTGCAGCCCTGTGATAGACTGGTGACCTGTCCAGGTGAACCTGTCTTCACCCTGAGTCAGCTGGGATAGACTCCAGCCCCCCATGACCCTAGTGAGGATTAAGCGGTGTATAGATGATGGATGGATGTATTTCTGTCAGACCAAGATAAACTAAAACGTAACAGCTCCGTGACTCTATGACAGTGGTCCCCAACCACCGGGCCGCACAGAAAGAATAAAAAAATTGGTTTATTTTGTTTCCGGCAGAGTCCGCAGGGTGTTTTATTTTGAAAAATGACCAGCTCGTCTTCCCATAACTTCCAGCTGTGCTTGTCTCGGTCGGTTTTCATGCCCAGCCGTTAAAATCTATTCTAAGCGCTGCCGAAACGAATAAAAAACCAAACTTTTCTGGAGAGCTTCTTTGAAAAGAGGATGAGATGCTGAGACGAAAGAAATAGTAAATACTTATTCAGCAATAAAAGGTAGTTTGATTTGTTTATGACACTTGTTTTATTATTTGTTATGGGCGCAATGACCGGTCCGTAGAAAATCATTTTGCTTGAAACCGGTCTGTGGTGCAAAAAAGGTTGGAGACCGCTGCTCTACGACACGTCGCTTCAGTTCCAAGGTGTCGGCTTCCCATCACCAAACTCATTACTGATTGAAGCATTTTACTTAACAGGAAACAATTTCCAGATTTTAAACGACTAAACTCTCCTTTTTCTCATCCCTGTTCCAAGAAGCCACTTTATGATGACATAATTGGACAGACTTGTTTATTTTCTGTCATCTGATTCATTAACTCCTTGTCGGCCAGAGTTCTGGTTCTGGAGTCTGGAGGCCTTTGGGGAGTTTCAGGCAGCAGGAGCTCAAGCCAGCGTCACCTCCACAGGGTAATGATCACTCACAGCCAAAGCCTGAAAGACACGGAGAGAACATGGTTTCCTTGTGGCAAAATTTTTCCCCAACAGAAAATCTGAGCTTTGTTGAAATATGCTGTAAAACTCAACTGGTTGACCGAACACCTTTAACTCCGACGTCACTACAGGACACAGTGTACTGGCGGGTTTAATCATTTAAGCACAGAAACTAAAAATCTGGATCAGCATCTCTGGTGAGCGTTTCTAAAAGCATGCGTTTGTATGTTTTGCAAAAACGGTGTAAAATTCTGAGAAATATATGTGTTTTGAACTCAATGTGCAGTAGCTAGAGAGCTTAAAGTCAGGCTGAAAAGCAGTGTTTTCATGTAATGTGAGCTGAATTTGAGGTGAACTCAAGGTGAAGAATAGAAAAGAAAATGCCAAATAGGTTTTAGTCTGTGCAGCGTCGTCAGGAGAAGGTAGTCGAGGATATTTTACACATGACTGCAATAAACAGAGCAGGAGGAGTGGAGGTAGTTGTTCAAATCTCTGGTATCTGCTTTGAAATGGCTCCAATAAGGGACTTTCTTAGGTTGTTCCGAGTCAATGATTGGCTTTCTTTTTAGATCTTTGCTGAACTCCTCAGCGGATCAAATGCATCCCAGTTAAACTGATTCAGAGGAGTCATCAGCTGTAGTCAACAGTAATTGTGCAGCTGAGATAATTTGATCAACACTGCTGCATTGCTCCATTGAATGTGTATCTGCTCTCAGATGTACGTCGCTTTGGATAAAAAGCATCTGCTAAATGAAATTGTAAATGCAAATTGTAAATGCAATGCTGATTAAGCCTCTCAGAACCAGGTGGATATCTCTGTATTTTGTAGTTGCCACAGTTTTAACTCTGGTTTCTATGGTGACAGTCCCATAGTGTGTTTTACATCAACCAGCAGCGATCGGTTTGCTACAACTAAAGAGGTGAGCAACATGGGAAGCATCAGCATTTCTAATGCTCCCAATATTCTCGTAGATGAATCGTAGCAGCTTGAGTTCCTTGAAGACGTTCCACCTCTCATCCAAGAGGCTTCATCAGTTCTGACTGACTAGTTGGGAGTTCCAGATATCCTTAAGGAGCCATTAACACCTGAGTTTCGGTTTCAATTGGGGGTTTGTTGCTCCTCCCCCTTGCTAAGTGAGTCGTTAGTGCCCCTCCTGCCACAATGGGGTTCGTTAGGGTCTTTTGTGTCTAGGTGTGAATGTGGTTTCATCTTCCTGGGGAGAGATCTTAGGACTGAATAGTGAACAGGTGATGCCTCAGACCTCCACCTCTGTTGAGGGATGGTCTTTCCAGTTAGATGGCTTCTTTCACTCCTCTCTCAAACCATCTGTACATTAATATCCTCAAATGAGTGTCCTTTATCCCTAAGATGCAGGTGGACTGCTGAGTCCATGACCTGGATGATTGAGAATCTTCACAGACGATGCTCCAAATAAAAGAAGTTCTGTAATTATTCTCATTGCCACAAGAGGGAGACAAACGTTCTACACTTCTAGTTTCAGAGCTACATTGTTTTCTTTCTTTACCAGACTGTGGCTGAGTTTCAGGTCCGTCATGTAGTCGTAGACCTCAGCGCTGCCCGCCACCACTCCCTTCATCATGTCGCTGGTGACCACGATCCTGCAAACACAGCAGCATGAGCGGAACTGAGAGTCTGTGTGTGACTGGAAGCTGACGTTGTGCGTTTTTGTGTGCGTCCACCTGTCGTAAGGGCAGGAGGTGTGAGACACGGTGGTGTCGGCGTCGTCGGGGATCAGCCAGTGGAAGCTCTTGTCGGTGAAGATCTTGATCTTGTCCCAGTCGGAGCCCGACACGTAGCTGCAGCCTGCGTTGAAGTCGCCCAGCAGCACCAGGTTCTGCAGGGAGACGGAGATGATGCTTCAACCACACTGAACCCCGGTTTCATCAGATTCATACCTCTCTAGTTTTGCTCTAAACAAAGAGAATGTTCACGTTGGTGCTCCAGCGTTTGCGGACGTCCACCGTCACATCATAGAGAGCCCCCAGCTCCTCCACGGCAGCCTCTGGGGAGGTGTGCTGAGGGATCAGAGCAAAGTTCTGCACAGCTAGAAGGAGAGAAGAGAGTTTCAGATAAAGTGAATCAGACTCACTGCCTTTTTAATTTGGCACAACAGTCCTGCATGACTGACATAAATCCTCATGATGCAAATTCATACTACGTAGAGGTTTTGAACTAAGCTGTCGAATGAAAGCAAGTTCAGTTTTTGCACCGTTGTTCTTACCGGTGTCTTTGGAGGAGAACAGGACGACAAAAGGCTCTCTGTTGAAGGTGTCGGTCCCGCAGGACTCACAGCCGTCATCGTAGGTGTAGTTTTTCAGCACCGACACTGTCTGATGCCTGGAGAGGAAACGTGCTGTTTATTAGTTTAGTCAGGAATACTGTCACTGCTTTGAGAATATGATTGACACAACAGAACAAGGATCTCTCCTGAAGAAAAGAGAGGAAGTGAAGTGATGGTGCTGACACTGGATGCTCCAGTCAAAGCATACATTTAACAAAAGAGTTTTCAGCAGTCTTTATAAATGCCTCTGATTGTACCTGTAGAGGAAGAGATATCTCTCCGTGTAGGTGCTGCGACCCAGAGGCTCGCTGACGATGTAACTGAACTGAGCAGAGTTTCTAGGAGGAAACACACAGATGCAGATTTTTATAAAAGCATCACAATATGAGTTCATGAGCTGTTTTCCTTGAACAAAAAGTCACCACACACTGGCCTTCCAGCTGTGCTTCATGTCACCGTGTAAAGTGTGAAGTCAGTCTCACTTGTTGACGTGCTCCATGAGCTTCTTGGTCGCTGACAGATCGCTGTCTCTGACCTCCTGGATCAGAACGATGTCATAGCGGTGGACAATCTGCAAGAAGAAAAACCACAAAGAGCTCACTCTGATCATCAGTCCTGTGGCATCGAGTGCTTATAGGCAGCGTAATAGTCACATGTTCAATATGTTTGTAGAGTATAAAGGGTTGAAATGTTCTGCTTTGAGGCTGTGTGGCAGCCAATGGTACAGATGAGTGGATTCGAATAAATATCAGGAAATTTTAAGTGCGAATGCGTCGAGGCTAAATTCAGCATCAAGCCAAAGAGGAAAAAAAATCCAGCATGAACTTCTTTAAGCCTTACATAGTGTTTCAGGTCAAATTGAACCTGTTTTGAGATTTGACAGCAGCAAAAATATCCTAAACGTCCTTCTTTTAGCCTGAAATTTTCCTAAAGTGACCCAAAATATGCAAAAATGAAAATATTTTAAAATGCTATACTTTTATACAGGTGCTACAACTTTCGGGTCAAACTTCACCCGTCTTCATTGAGATGGATGTTAGATCTACCAGTGTGGGTCAAATCAAGGAAAATGGTGGTTTAAGGGAATCTTGAAACTGTCAAACTACCATGTTCTATGTGTATTTTTTTATTCACATTTATTAATGTGACATCGGCTATTTAGACATCATAAATAGGTCTGTAGCTTAAAATTTGGCATAGACACTATGAGGGAATTCTTGACAGGAATTCTTCATGGTTTGGGTCAGTTTTGAAATTTTTTATTTACAATGTCAACATGGTGCAAGGTGGCTAGGTGGTTAGCATTTTGTAAAGTTAACGAGATAAGCTGTTATGTTTGTTGTGTTTGTGGTTATTGTGTGTATAAGTGTGATTGTGCGTATGTGTGTGGACCCCAGGAAGAATCGCCAATGCTTATGCTGGTGCTAATGGGGATCCTAATAAACGAAATGAAACAATAGCACTGTTGCCTCGCAGCTAGAAGGTCACCGGTTCGCGTCCCGGTTTGGATGTTCGGGATCTTTCTGCGTGGAGTCTCCATGTTCTCCCCGTGCAGCGTGGGTTCTCTCCGGGTTCTCCGGCTTCCTCCCACAGTCCAGAAACATGTTGAGGT